CACTCTGGGCTATTCGCTTCAGAATATTGCGGCGTAAAGCTCATGATATCTAAAGCAAGATGATGTCATGGGCTGGTTACTGACGGCAGGATTAATACGCGGCTGATTGGTGGCCTTACTGAAATATGCTAGGCGTTCTATTCAGGGCTGATTGGTGTACAAAATTGGTGGTGTACGGCTGCGCTCCCTAGTGATACACTTTTTTACATAAGGAGCACGATCAGATAGCAAACGTAGCAATGATATACGGCCATTTTGCCGGGACAAACTTGGTTAGGATGACGCATAAAATGAGTAAAAAGTGCAATGTCTCACTAATTTCTCCGAGTGCAGTGTAAATATTCTATTGCGCAGGCTTATTATACATTAAGTACAGGCTGTGTAGTACTCATGTGATTACACAGGCTGTGTTCCTAAGTGATCATACAGGCTGTGTACTCAAGTGAATACACAAGTTACACAGGCTGTGTACTCAAGTGATTACACAAGCTACACAGGCTGTGTACTCATGTGAATACACAAGTTACACATGCTGTGTACTCAAATGATTACACAAGTTACACAGGCTCCGTACTCAAGTGATTACACAAGCTACACAGGCTGTGTACTCAAGTGATTACACAAGCTACACAGGCTGTGTACTTAAGTGATTACACAAGCTACCCAGGCTGTGTACTCAAGTAATTACACAAGCTNTCTCCATGGAGCCAGGCAATGGGGAGGCACGTCCTCCAGAGGTACCAGGACCAGACACCACCTCGCTGGCACCAGGAGCAGGGGACGGCGCAACATCATTACCCTGCCCATGCTCTGGTATACGGCTACGTCTAGAAAGTAATATTAATTAAAGTAATTTAATATTAAATATTAAAAATGTCTATCGGTAATTTAATTTTCAATCTTCCAACACCTACGAAGAATATATATATACATATACATATTATATAATATATAATCCATATTATACTATATATATAATATACATATATATATTAAATATATACATAGTGTAGGTTATATCACATGTATGATTACCATATACAGTGACCACGATAATATTTAAATGTATTACATCCCAGTTAAAAACCCTAGTAAAATTTCATAATTTTACAATGTTATAATCGGCAGGGGTTTAAATGTGCAATGCGATAGGATGTTTTACAAACTTTAAAAAAAGTTTTTCGTTTTTTTTAGTTTCATTAAAAAAAGTAAAACTTGCATAACATTTGGGAAAATTTAAATACCAAGCGCAATATTGATGAATAATTCCAGCCATGTGATACACTATACAGTATATTTATACTAGCGTACCCGTACCAACTAATGCATTCAATTTAGCAGGTTGAAGTAAGATGATTAAAAACAGAATAAAAAATATACGGAATAAATTATATAAAGAAGGACGTAAAGGTACGAGAACAGTGGGTGAAAATTGAGAAAAAGACTAGTGATGACAAAATTATTGAACTGTTAAACAATGAGGGATTGAAATTATAATGATCGAAAATGATACTCGAATTATGATGCACACAAATTTACGGCGTAAATTTGTGAAAATTTTACGACGTAAATTTGTGAAAATTTTACGACATAAATTTGCGAAAATTTTTCGACGTAAATTTGTGAAAATTTTACGACGTAAATTTGTGAAAATTTTACGACGTAAATTTGTGGCGATAAAATGAACAGATGCTGCATATGAGATGAACCTTATAACCGCTTTACGATTCCATAAAAAACAAACGTCATCGCTTCATATTTTTATAGACGAATACGGTGCAAATCTTCTTCAAATTTCACGATCAATACCATGCAAATCATCGGATCAAGCATTATAATAATCGTGAATTTAAAAGCAAAGAAAACAGCCAGAATATTAACCATTACTTAAGAATGAAATGGTTCTTCATTCTTAAGAAATGGTTAATATTCTGGTTGTTTTCTTTGCTTTTAAATTCCTGATTAACCTGCGATTTAAGCAATCTATTAATTTAATTACTGTAATAATCGTTTATGGTATCATTGTCGAGATAAACATATATCACCAGAGCATAAATCACAATTAAATCATATTAAAAGCGTATTCCATTCGATTCAATATTTTTTCTACCTTTTAGACATAGACTTCAGCTTGCTCACTATTGTAGTACAATGAAAGACAGCAGTGAACCCAACCTCCTTCACTATTATAGTACAATGAAAGACAGCCGTGAACCCAACCTCCTTCACTATTACAGTACAATGAAAGACAGCAGTGAACCCAACCTCCTTCACTATTATAGTACAATGAAAGACAGCAGTGAAACCAACCTCCTTCACTATTACAGTACAATGAAAGACAGCAGTGAACCCAACCTTCTTTCTTACCAAACTCTTGCAGAATTTGAACCAAACATTGAACTTAACTGTATTTATTTTTAATAGCGAGGAATCCTATACAATGATCAGGGGCCATACTTACAAAACTCGCTAAGTGAACGTAAGTACTTACGCTCTATTTTCTTGTCCATATTTGGTGGATTTTGCTCGAAAGGCTGTCAATGATTGGCTGATGAACTTACGATCTCTTAACTTTTTTTGAAAGTATGGGCCCAGGGAAGTGTGTCAATATATGCCATACTTGTGTCATATAAATATGGTCTAGCAAGGTGGTTTGGAGGGCAGGAATGTTATTCTTTTCAAAATAAGTCCTTGGTAATGTACATACCACATTTCACCACTTAATGTATGAATATGAGACAGTTGTTTACCTTAACTACTTCGTTCAACTTACATTTTTAGAGCAGAGTTTATCTTTCTTCATCTGTTTAATAACAAAATAAGCATCCAGTATCCAGTGAAATATCAAGCAATTATGACACTAAGTTAAAATATTAATAGAAATACAAGTTTTAAGACAGAAATTAAGCTCAATTGTTTGTTGTAGTTAGTAAACCACTACCGTAGTCATCAATTGTTATACTCTACACAAGTGATAAAAGTGGAAAATTTAGACAGAAAACTACATATATTGCACATACTAATTTTTGAAACCAGACAGTAGAAGTTCATTTCCATAGGACTTTTTGACGTATGGATTTTTGTGGTGAGTGTGCAAGCTCAACCAAACCAAGTCACTTAAATCACAACCCAATTTAATGGTTAAACATCATAATCAAAGCACAAGCACATTATTCTGTTCATGAGAGTATTGCTACCAGAAGCAGTTATTTTCTATGGTAAAAACAATTAGTTTTTTTCTAAAGCCAAGCCAACCAAACCACAATACTGCCAACTCAACTAAACTACTTTTCAAGGATAGTTAACTTAAACCAAATATCTTCACAGCCATGGTTAACAATTGGGGAGATGAAGCACATTATGAGAACAAGAAGATGATGAATCCAGAAGCCAAGAATGAAATTAAATGTATCAGAACATAAAAAAAATGAAAAGTAATGATGATGTTGAATGTGATGTAATTACATGATTCACTTAAAGCCATTTAGCTTTGAATACTATTATTAAACTATTCCTTTTGCATTATCCCACGTTTAATTTTCCTATTGCATTCTTCTAATAAATTAATTTATTAAATAAATGTCTGCATTTCATGTCTTTTAAAGTTTTTTCCTTTATCAACATACAATATAAATACTTAATCCACCACAATAATATCCTGAAATTTTGTAAAGTAATTACAAGTTTTAAAACTATTTTAATTATCAGAACTTACTGGATTGTCAGAGTAAGAAGGCAAGCCTTTTTTATTTTTTGATTGTGTTTTCCTAGAAATAATGATATTGGGGAAAGAAAATTTTAATGGACAATTCATCCCAGAAAAAGATGGATCAATTTCTGAATCAAAATAATTTTTATGTCCCAGCAAAAATAAATACAAAGGGGAAAATATTTAGCAACATTACCAGTCACAACAGAAAAATTTACCCTCATATTTACAAGGAGACAAACCTTATAAAACGTAAATTTAAAAAAATTTATCATGTGGAAAACAGTTCAAAATGATTGATAACCAGAAATACTTTTCTGAAAGAATAAGAGTTTTGAGGGTTATATTTAAATAACATATAATATTATATTTAAATAGCATATCAAAGTCATATCTTGAATAACTGGACCACATATATACCTAATTAACATATCAGAGTCATGAATAGTTAGACAACAGGGTAATTATATGTAACAGAGAATATATTTTAGTGCACCTCAAATTTATTAAGTAAACAATTTTTCAACATACAGAACACTACTAGACACATTTTTTATTTGCCTCCCACCATGACAATGAATACAAATTCACTCAAATAATTTCCAAATGTTATGCATAATACAATACAAACTATTACACAATAAAAGCTCATTTTTTTCCATTTATATGTATATCAAATTGAATTGTAACACTAAATTTTAAAAGACCTCTTAAGTATATTTAGATAATAAATACTACACTATTAATGCCATCAACAAACTAGACCAAGATTTTACAAGAAAAAGTCTTCATTGAATACTACTCATGGAGCCATGAAAAACTAATATATATTAAAAGAATTCTACCTGTGCTTATCTATTAATCACTTCCATGAACAATGCACCTAAAATACCAAGACAACTACACAAATATTTTCCAGCACAATACGTATGTGGGGGATAAAGGCAGCAAATATAGGTGCCACATACTAGTCATGTGATTTGATATTGACATAAAGCTACTTCCTTACCTAGCTTGGAAATTAGTAGTTAATCTTGAATAAATTCTGAATTTCATTGGATACATATTTTTAGTCAGGTTTTCTTGAGCGCATTTACTTCTTACATTAAATAGGTACCTATCTTTCTAGTTATGTTATAAACATTAATAAAATTTAATTCTGTCAACATAAGTTACCTTTTCTTTTCTTGTCAGGTCTAGGCAACTTTGAATATTTCCTATTCCATGATTTATAAACCAGATGTATTGCCAATAAAATTCTATTTAAAAGTTTCATATGCATGTGTATTACAATATTTCCAATTCCATGATTTATAAACCAGAATGGGTGAGTAATTTAAAAGTTTGGAGTGAAATGTACTCACCCATCAATGTTTCCCCAGGTTCCAGAATTTTAGCAAAGCCAAAATCAGTGAGTTTGACATTGCAGTTGTCATCAAGAAGGATGTTTTCTGGCTTGAGGTCTCGATGCACAATGTTCTTAGAGTGGACATGCTTTAGAGCTTCCATAAGCTGCCGCATGATTGTCCTTGTTGAAAAGAGTAATACAAATTGATAAAACCAATAATTAATTTCGATGGATGTTAATAATAATAGTAATAACTAAGATAGATGGATTGCAGTTACAGTACATACAAGCTATAATTAGACGTCATATAAGAATAAATTGTGGTGAATCAAATCTGCCTTCATTAATGTTTCAACTTGAAACTATCCACTGATAAGATATAGGCACCAGTCAGCAGAACTTTATAAACTTGAAATATATAATATTTTGTTATATAGGTAATAGGCAAGACTCACTAACTTTGTTTTCTTCTCAGACAAGGTGACAACTGATGTGAGGTAGTCAAACAGTTCACCATTCTTGCACAGTTCAAATACCAAGAAGATGAAGGTTGATGATTCAAAAACATCATGGAGCTCAACTGAAAAGAAATAATTGATTACAAGAAAATTAATTAAAAATAATTGGAAGTAAGAGTACTATGAATAGTTATGATCTGAAAGGTCAAACAAAATATGAATAATATTGTTGCCACCAAGATGGAAAAAATATAACTCAGTACTCACTGCAGTGAGTGACCGAGAGCGCATTTTTTCATTGACAAAAATGTGAAGTCACGGACAGACAGACAAACATGATGAGCACAATAGTGCCTTTTTTTCCATAAATGAGAAAATCCACTAAAAATACCCCACTTGCAAACATATTTACCATTACCTACTGTAAATTGTCATCTACTTATTCAAATGCAATGGAATGAGCTCAGTGTTAGAAACCACTTTAGAACCATTAAAGTTAACTAAGAATTTAAAAGCAAAGAAAAGTCCACAAAAATTCATATCTTTATAGATATTCATTCTTTATAGATATTCATTCATTCATTCAATTCATTCTTTATATGCTCTTTATTCAGCACAATTAATACGTTAATAATTAATTAATACGTTAAGCACAATTTCTCTGCACTGTTTATTGCAACTTACTGATGTATGGATGTCCTGCAACCATGCGTAATATTTGAACTTCACGCTTTGTAGCTTCCAGTATGCTGTTGTCATTTGCATCACTCATATCAATGATCTTTGCAGCAAACTCTTGGCCCGTCTCTTTTTCTGAAATTTGAACAAATAATTAGAAGTGATTAAAGTTACATTAATTAATGACTTCCTTATGAATAGGATCAAACATTTTAATATCTCCAGTTGATGAAAATAAACAGAGGTTTTGGAACAAATATTATGGACACAATTAGCAGCATGCCACATATAAACAAGCATTTGAGCAATACAAGATGCATGTATTTTCAAGGGCAATAAATTTGTAATTTAATCAACCCCTGATCAATTCCAAGGAACTTACCAATACATCTTCTGACCACTGAGCAGCCTCCCCTTCCCAGGACTTCTTTTGGTTCATATTTGGAGTAGAACCCTCGAGCTGCGCTACGATCTGGTAATGTATCTCCATCATCTACAGCCATTACTGAAATCTTCAATTTTTTATCAAAGTAAATTATTAGGAAAATAAGTTAATTATTAATATTTATTAATAGGAATTATTAATATACCGTATATCACTATCACTAGTTGTAGCAGGAATAGTATTCAATAATTATTATGTCCCATGAAGATGACTTAACATGAACCCATGAGTGAGCCAGAACCATCTGGGCACGTATCATGGAACAAAATTTAATCATACCATATTTAGAGAAAAGATTTTATTAATTATTCACTTCATCTTACTTATCTACTAAAGAAAAAGAATAACATTTTTGAAAGCAAATTTTAAAAAACCTAATGTGAAATACAATCATTTTTACCAGCACTTGTATTAAAAATTGGTAAGATTAGTGGTTAACCATTTATAGTGTGTGGTTCCCAGTGTGGTTATTTCTCAAAGAAATTCAGCACACAATGTGGCATAAGAAAATGACAATAAAAATTCCTAAGCACTTGGCACATCTTCCTGCCTATGGGGAAGGAGTCCATAGGCAGGAAGAATTGCACCCAGGGCATGCGAACTAATTTTAATTTTTTTTTAATTTTTGTTCCATGCTGAAAAACTTAGAAAATTCTGAAGTTAATGCACAATGCACCATGAACCAAAAATAGTTGAAGCAGCCATGTGTGGCAGTGTTACTTGAAAAATAGTCAAAATAACCATAGATATGTTCAGCGATGGCAGCACAATCATCCCCTCAGACAGCACCGCCATGAATGCACATATATTATATGATAATTGCAACTAATTTTATGTCTGCAATGCTATTGCATCCTCGCAAAGCACGGCCATGGACGTAAGCAAATTATGTAGTAATTGTACTTACATTCAATGCCAACAGCAGCGTGATCACATTCCTGCACCACACGGCTTAGTACGCTGGCGCATTAAATAGTAATTGCACTCCAGTTCAATGCTGGCAGCTGCGACAGTGCAATTATATCCTTGCACCAAGTTACTATGCGCAATAATAAAATATGTTCAATGCCAAATGAAGTTCTCTGAGTGAAACCACTTTGGGCCGCTTGCTAAACATGTTAAGTGCAACACAACCCACCAGATGTGCTACTCATCAGTGATGGCACATCACCAGATGTGTGGCACATGTGTGATGCGCCATCACCAGATGTGCCACTTTTGCGCCACTCACCAGATGGTGGGTTGGCCTACCAGATGGCCTAAAAAAGGCCATGTCCTCAGATAAAAAAGCCTATAATTCAAAATATACTATTGAATTTATAGGTTGCGATGCAAAAATTAAATTTTTTTCATTTTTTTTTTATTTTGTCCTGCACTCAATGTACTAAAGACAACTTTTGCCCCCAGAGGACCAGATTGGGATTATCATCAATTCATCATTCCAAGTGGAATGCACCATACATATGATTTAAAGGGCTCATTTGGTGCAGTAAAATTTTGACAGAGGAACTAATATGGCTGTATGATCTCTGCCCCGGTCTGCCGCTAGCCATGACAGTAAAAATTTCAACTAATTCTGCTACTTCTGCATTGCATGGTAGGCCCTATGTAAAATTGTTATTTGAATAATTAAATTATGCATGTTAATGTAAAGCAGAATGGTATATGAGAGATTTTTTTTGAATCAGTTCATTTTTAATTTCTTTATTTATTCAAGATTTAAACCAATTTCTTAGATATGATTTTGCTGGTATCCATGATACTTTTGGTGGTCTACTTATAGGACTCAAAAGTGAACTTGAGGGAGAGTCTAAAAACTCTGTGTTTTGCCACTATGATTGTAAAGCAATTGGCTAACTACAGCCAATTGATTCGCTAACTGGCTGGCTTTGCTAACTGGCAGTGTTTTTCATGCTTGACAGCCCACACTCAGGATGATGTATGTTTTCGGTGAATTTTCCCACGCATTTTCACTTTTTTTAAGCTATTGCTGTGCACAGTTGGCGCAATGTAATGAAAATTGATTATCTTCGCGCACGTGTTTGCGCAATCCCGGCCATCTTTATTTTAGAAGAAATTTTCTCCAAAGTCATATGGCAACACTGAACACCGTCTGTTTACATTTCGTTTGTATAACAGCCGCAGTTTACGATTACCGTACGTTCCGTATCCGACAAGGCGGACAACCGGAAGCTGGCGGAAGAGTCAGAAGTAACCCGGACATGTCTTACATTTTATTATTGTCAGTTCGACTCGCGTCTCGCGTAGTCAATATACTCGCGTATATTGTCGACTAAAATAGTAGAACTATTTTAGCTTTCTAAAGTACGGCGCACGGCGCATTTTTTTACCAACGTAGTACGGCGCACCGCGCAGGTCGTTAAAATGACAAAATAAATTTCCGCGCACCTGGCACATCTTCCTGACCATGGTATGACATAATGACAGCTTGAGCAACATATGTAATGCATTTCTCAACTTCTCAAGTAACCAATCCTACCAATGTGATGCAAGCACAAAAGATATACCAGTGCCTTCTTTAGCTCTTATTAATGAGTAATCTTCAATTTTTAAGCAATCATGTTTGCTTACAATATACTTACTATACATACACCTAAAAATGCATTGGTTTTCATGGTAGGCCTATATCTAGAATAATTGCTGAAGTTTTGAGAAGGTTTTCAAATGTGTTGCCAAGATCTTTGGTTGACAGAAATTTTGCTGCTGTCCTGCCAACGCAAATGCCAATGCGTCTCTGAAAATCTTCATCGCTCTCTCTCTTTGCAGTCTGCACGGCTGCACGGGCCTCAGGGCCTGCACCCTGGCTGATGTGCTGTGGAACATTCAGTTTTTTGGTCCAAAATCTCATATATTATGTTCTTTTATATAAACTATTACTATAGAACTGCACCATGGCTGAACTTAAATCTCCCACGGTGACAAAAGTTTAACCAAACTTAGATAGGTACTTAAATAATACATAATAGTGATCGTCCTCACAACTCATTTTCTTGCAATGGCCATTTTTGTGTCTCTTTGTCATCTTATCTTCCACTTGGAAAATGCGTTCGCATTCTTAAAAAAAATAAATTGCCTTCTGAAAATTGGCTAACCTACGGCGATTGGCTGTCACCGCCTCCGTCAGCAGTCAGCACACAACTCGGACTTCGGACGGTCGTCCGAACTGAATGACCTTGGGCTCGGCGGTCGTACGCACGTCAGGAATGAAAAACATATATCGAACGATGCAATAAGAGCATTTAAAAAAATCTTAATAAATGCATCACACAGATGTTATATGAATATTTCATAATTAAGAATGAATTATTGATATATGTTCATTTTTTGATGAATCGATATATGAAAAAGTTTTTTCAATGATTCCATGTCAATTCATTGCCATAGGTGCAACGGAGTCATTGTGAATTTTAAATTGCAGCTCCTTTTCGTATTAACTGAAGTGATTTTCTGTTTTAGTATCCATATTTAAAATAGCAGAATAACCTGACTTTCTTGGAGTTCGCAATTATAAAACCGCTACATGAATCCACGGATTAATTCGGGTCGCCTGCCGAAGACCACTACTGCCCTGGATGTAATGGACCATCATGATTCCTGCCTTCCGGAACGTAGCCTTTAACACTTCAAGCCGTCCGTATCTAGGCCGTGGGTCGAACTAGCCCTCGATCGAACGGCCACTTGTCGAAGGACGATAAATTTTGGAACAGAACTATGCTATCTGAAACCTAACTTAGATGCGGTGAACGTAAAATTGCGTAATTTAACGATGCCCGGAAGTCAGGTTCGATCCGCGGGCTGGTGGTGCACGGCAGGTTCTATGCAAGGCCGGAGGAAAACAAAGCCGAGTGGTTCACGGCTGATTGGTGGATAGCCGGAGATATCCAGGGCGTTTGATTTAGGGCTTATTGGTGCACAAAATTGGTGGTGCACGGCTGCGCTCCCATTAATTCCACTATGGGTGTGTTCCATAGCTTGACCCTTTAAAAGAGGAAGTACTGACAGAGTCATTTTGAATTTAAAAAAAAGTATGAGCCATATAATCGAGAATTCAACATCTTGTTTGTTGCAAAATTGTATTTTTAGATTATAAATGATTTAATTTGATAACAGTGATTTTTTGGCCTATCAAGTTTCAAAGACTGACACTGATGAAGAAACTGAAAGGATTGTTTCCAAAACTTTACTTTGGCAATGAAATTATTAGATTTTTGTATTAATTTTTGAGCATGTCGTTCTCAGAGCAGCGGCGAAGTGCAAAACAACAAGGAGGCACTCCATCCCTCGAATAACTCTCAGCGCCATCAGATATGAGCGGAAAGTTACGAATCATTCAACAATTCAGGCAAAGTTTCGACTCTGGAGCTAGTGAAATAATTTTAACTTACAGAAATAACTACAGTAGGGGCTGACAAACAAATCGGCATGAACTAATGAAGACTGACAGTAACTGTCAGTACCGAAGCATAAAACGGGATTAATTCCTGTAAACGATCAATCTACTTGAATCAATGAAACTGACACAAGCTGATGAAAAATATCGGCATTAAAGTCTAAAAACAATAAAAAATAAATAAAGAAGCAATGAGCGTAAAAATAAGCAATTATAAGCATGAGCGCACGCTTGCAATATACCAAAACACTATATTGTATATTGATAATTGATTCCCCAGAAGAATCCGAAATCGAGAACTTTGTTTGACACCAGCGGGATGATATCGGACACAGGACGGATATTCATAGATATTTGTGTTAAAAAACATTCTAGGTATATGTAATTGTGTATAGAAATAAAACATCAAGCTCAGTACGACTCAAATATACTATAACACTGTTGAGGATTGGGTGCTCAGAATAGTCCGAAATCGAGAACCATGTGCGACACTAGCGGGATGATATCGAACACAGGACGGATAATCATAGCTATCTGTGTTAAAAAACCTTCTAAATATATGTAATCGTGTATAGAAATAAAATATCAAGCGCAGGGCGACTTAAATATACTTCAACAATGTTGGTGATTCGTTGCTTAGAAGAGTCCGAAATCGAGAACCTTGTGCGACACTAGCGGGATAATTTCGAAGACAGAGGACGGGCAATCGGCGAAACGACGCCGACAATCGCCGCTGCCACGCCCTGCTTCTTCCGCGACCAAATAGTCCTTCAAAACTTCCATGTCCGAACTGGGGGACGACAGCGATGCCACTGATGGTCTGTTGAGGAATTAAAATGAGCTGATGAGCCTATTTTGAGGAAATGTGGTATCGGTTCTCAATACCTTACCAATTATTAAACATGGTGCTTAAATTACGCTATGATTTGGCTAAACGTTTAAACGAAAATTTGCAATGAAAAATTTTCACTTTTTTGCACGAAAGATTGTAATTGTTAAACATGGAAGTTTAATTAATAATCAGTTTTGACTTGGACGTAATGATGCCGTGATTCAAATCCTTCACCTTCATCACATTATATTCTATCATCAATAAATTCATCGTAGCGAACCATGTGATTTTTAAAGCTGCATACCATCGCCTGGTTTGCAGGTGACAAAAAGATAAACTGCAGAATATGAAGCCACTAAAACCATCACTTCATGAAGCGAAACCTTATTTAGCAAATGAAAAATACAACATTAAAAAGCCTGAGAATTTAAGTTGTATGTCCAATTTTACTAGTAAGATTCTGAAGGAATCAAGTGAAAAAATTAAGCAATCGTCGATGCAACAAAAGAAAAATGTGAGCTCCGTAGAGAGAGTCAGTGATGAAAGAGAAAAATGCTAAGGTCAGGAGAGAGAGTCAATGCTGCATGAGGGCAAAATGTGAGCTCACGAGAGAGAGTCAATGCTGCATGAGAGCAAAATGTGAGGTCAGGAGAGAGAGAGAGTCAATGCTGCAAGAGAGCAAAATGTTAGGTCAGGAGAGAGAGACAATGCTGCAAAAAAGCAAAATGCGAGGTCTTGAGAGAGAGTCAATGCTGCAAGAAAGCAAAATGTGAGGTCAAGAGAGAGAGTCAATGCTGCACGAGAGCAAAATGTGAGGTCAAGAGAGAGAGACAATGCAGCAGGAGAGTAAAATGTGAGGTCAAGAGAGAGAGAGTCCATGCTGCAAGAGAGCAAAATGTGAGGTCAGGAGAGAGAGTCCATGCTGCAAGAGAGCAAAATGTGAGGTCAGGCGAGAGAGTCAATGCTGCATGAGAGCAAAATGTGAGGTCAGGAGAGAGAGTCCATGCTGCAAGAGAGCAAAATGTGAGGTCAGGCGAGAGAGTACGCTCACTGAGACAGTCAACATCCGGCATAATCCGAAATTATTTAATACAATTAAAGAAATATTTCCTAATTCTACTGATCTTCGACGAAGAAAGTTAAATTTATCGTCATGAAGCCACATTATAAAATCTCAGATTGATTTTAAAATATGCTAAAAAATAATCATACACGTGCGTGGTTCTCAAAAATGTTTTGCTGAAAGTTAAACTTTGCGTTTTCTGACAGGACATTTTATGTAAATAATTTTTTTTTTATTTCACTTGGGAACCTGATATCGCAATTAATGCTCCGCAAAGCCTTCCAAGACATTTTTAAACTTGAAATTCAACTGTAGATTAGTGTCATTTTATGAAAACAATTTCATTCTTTGCCCATTCGTGATTTAAATTTGTGTGTACTAATGAACACATAATGATAACGCATAAAATAACAAATTACAAATAACTACATTAAACCAAAAACTCACTTGGTCAAGATGCGTTCGATAGCATTGTACGCATCGAGTCTGTGCATCACATGAAGACTCTTGACATGTTCTGAATGTTCTTCATAACTATCAAATACCATTTCCTCTTCTCTCTCAGATTCAGTAATATCATCCGATACGATTTTCGTTTCAAAGTCGGAAACTCTTCCTGGTCCGTTCGGAATTTCAGTGTCCGGTGTATTCTCATGAACAAGTTCGTCTTGCCTTTTATTTCGATGTGAAGTCGCTGGACTTCTTTTGGTTACATTATGGGTCTTCGTCTTATTTGCCTCATCAGCCTTGGTAACTGCAGCATCAAGATTTCTATTCGTATGGTCTTCGGTTTCCCAATCGTAGTTATGAAAACCTTCATCTTCATTCTCTCCTCCTGCTCCTTCTCTTCCCAATTTTGTGCCAAAAAGCGTTGAAAAATCAGGAGTGTATCTATCATCTGTAAGGTAGGCAGGTAGCGGTCGATTGAGAGGTAGAGCCACTTGCAGTTTAGTTGTGTACTTGATTTCTGTCATAGCAATCCAGTTGAAAGTCCACTTGATCTGAAGTAAAGCAATGATGTTCAATAAATAAAGTTCATGAAAATTAAAATTTTCGGTAATTACAAAAATTTTTAAATAAATTCTGTAATTTATCATATATTTGCGATTTGTTATCAAGTGAAAATTAAATTTTAACTGCGGCATATTTATACCGTGGCGTTTTGAGTTAATTTTTCCACTTATTATGTGCCCACGGTTAATTGATTTGACTGCCATTCGCTGCTTACATGAAAGGGTATAAAATGCAGAGATCGAATGGAAATTGTCATAATTTAAATCAGAGTAAAGCGAATGTGTTCATTAGATTTGTTGTGCGAATTTTTGCCTGATTTAACCCGGTGGAAGTCTAGTAGCTGCTTCAAACTATCGTCAGTCTTGAAAAGATCCGGTCAAATGACACGATTTTAGATCTTCTGTGAACAAGGCACGAAAAGGAAAAGAATCGGCGACAGGCCACATCAGGCCTACACTTCAGCGCCGACATCACTATGTTATGTTATGTCATGTTATGTTATGTTATGTTATGTTATTACCTCCATATTTGAGCCGAATGGGAGCCTGAACTGGAAATAGATCAGGCGCTTCTCCCTGTTGTGAGGCTGCGCGTCGAGCGCCAACAGCCTTTGAAATCTTTCTTTTAACGAGAATGTTGACTTGAGTTCTTCGTCAAATGATGTTTCAGTTTCCGTGATATTTGAATTAGCAAACATCAAATTCACTGCGATAATCGCAGTTACAAACAGAATCCATTTGGAACAAAGTACCCCGCTCATGCTGTGATGGTTGCTCGGCTTAACTTAAAGCTTGTGAAGACGTTTTCTCAGTGGATATTACCACAGAATGCGAGGCCGGCTGTTGTCTAACTAAACTTCCAAACGAAAATAATTTTAGATTTAGCTCCTCCTTCAGGTCATCTTCTATTGTGAGAGTTTCGATACTCCTCCTTTGTTACGCAAACTGTCTGGGCCATGGATGACTTCGGAATACAAACAAGGGTAAATGCCCTAGTGTAGCCTGAACAAAACCGCTACTGCCCCAGATTACTAGACGCATCTTCGGTTTTGTAGTGATGTGAATAACGGTGTTGAAGGTTACAGTTACATATACCTAACTTATAGCACAACTTTTTTATAAGAAACTGAAAATTGAATTGAATTTGAGTTTCGATCGACGTTTGGAAACACGACATTTCAGAAAACAAATGTTCTGCCAACAGATGCGTAGTCCATGACTGATGCACCTGTAACTACGATCGGTATTATTGTCAATAAGTATCCTTTATCGTGTAACATTTCTTTTGTATCAACATTAACTTTTTAACGTTAGCGAGTTGTATTTTTACTACGGAGCAGAGGTAAAAGAATTTAACCTCAATTAACCTATTCACTGCCGTGCTTCCAAAATTGGTGTCATATTAGCATTAAACAAAAATAATATGATAGTTGATACCACAATCACTAATAGGAAATTTTTTGGCAAAATTTTGAAAAAAAACTGTTGTCATTCACAAAAAATATCCTGACTCATTTATGTAGTTAAATTTACATAATCAAGACGTTATTTAAATACACTTTCTAGTTATTGGATAAATGAAAAGAAATGGTCTCAAACAAACTTAAATGGCAATTAATTGTCAATTAGGTAGTTATTTAAAGTGAATTAATAGTACATATAATTAATTTCGATCGTATTCTGGACTGAAACTTTGAGTATAGCAGTTGTAGTAGATTTGAATTGAATCTGGAAAATTAAAAATAAAAATAATATAAAATAAACAAGTTGGAGGAAATAGATGGCTGTATTGCACGAATTACTTCGATGATCGTTAAGCTGAGCTGCACATTTATTATATTAAAAAGTATATCTAATTATCTATCTTATCGTTCACCTTATTGATAGTACTCGTTGTTATGCAATTAAATATAAAGCATTTTTTTGTGAATTTCTGCATCACAGATTTCGTGGGGGGATGTCTATAGAATGTTCCTGCGTACGTATGTAAATTTATTGTATATTGGCTTAAACTGGGGACAGGTGTTCGATGACTATGTGAGGGATAAGTAAAATAACTTTCTATCTTAGACTTATCTTGATACGGGGTGGTTAAGTTAGCAATCGGTAGCGGTAGCGGTAGCAGTTTCAGCGTTTATTAGGCCGGTGGCCTGTCGCCGATTCTTAACATTGCAGAACATCCACAGCTTGTTGCGAGCTTGAACTCGCAACTCGCTGCTACAATTCTGCTGTGCTTAACCGCCCGGCCTCCTCGCCGATTCTGACCAGAAACTGGCGCACAGAGCTGGGATCGAACCCGCGCCTCTCTAGTGCGTCAATCTTGGTACTCTGAACTGTAACCACTGGGCCACCCTTAGGATACAATCAATATAGAAGTACAGGCAGATACATGGTAAGCATCTTCGGCCGTCGTACTGCTAATAAAATGAATACTACATCGCTGTGGTCGTTCAAACTCCTGAGGGGCACTTATTTAATTAAGTACCCAGCTCTTTTATAGACTTGGAGCTTTCGCCCACAGAGTTCTTGTCCTCCAGCTGATACATAAGCTGTATAAGCAGTCGAATGAGGGAAGGTCTGATGGTCATAGTGGACTCATAGCTAACGACATATAGGTCTTCTGGTAAACACATTCAGATTTGTATCCACAAACTACACATTCGGATTTGTATACACAACCTACACAACCTACACGTTGTATATGCAATATACACATTCGTACTAGTATCCACAAACTACTCACTGACACGATCCTTCTTCCGAAAAGATAGTCTTCGATCTCAGGATACAAAATCAAGAGAATACATTAATTGTTTTGAAGTCCTGGTCAAAATTATTCAAGTCCTGTTCCAAATCGCGTCTCATCGCCTAGGTATACTCCAATGGAATACGCAACACTAATTGAAAGACACATTAGCATTCAGTTCCTTCACTTAAGAGTATGAAAAAATGATGGATAAACATTTTTAAGATGAAGAAATCTATCTCTAACAAATTTTGGAAGAAATCCCTTCTGGGAATCTTGAAAACACCTTTGGGTACTTAACGCTATATACGTTCTACGGCGTTATAGCATCAAAGTTTCTAAAATTGTTAAATCCATCCACAATCAACACAATAGTTAGTTATGGTTTAAGATTCTTATCTCTCTTCTCTCTCTGTCTCTCAAACAAACTTGTTCCTACAATTTGAATTACGAAAGCTGTTTGCTGAACACATCAGCTTCGAGGGAATGCTGTTCTAATTTTTGATTTTGAATCATAAATTAACAGTGAAACCATCATGAATCTTGAATTAAGATTATTACACAAAATAATAAAATTATAGCGTCCGCAGAGTGATGAAAGTAAAATAAATCATTTAATATTCAACTTTGGAGAAATATTTGACAATGAAAATCAGGTCCATACATGCACTCCCGAACACTCGAAATATCATAAATAAATAAAATTAGGGGTTTAAAAATATTAGGCTTGATCCATTGGATCATACCGAGTCGCTGTAAGTCTATACATTAAGTTTGAATTAATACGTCAAGTTCCTTAACCTTGACACATTTTATTATCAGTGAGCTTCAATTAAGTCGCACAAAAAACGAAATGACGATAAGCAGATTGCGTCTGCGAAACTCTGCGTGATTTTCTTAATCATAAAATCATTGTATGATATGAACGCATCATAATTAGTAAACAAGAAATTCAACATTTGTATTCCATAATTTTACGATATTGCAAATTGACATGTTAGCAAAGAACAGACAAAGTTAGCAAAGAACAATCAAATCAAACTTTTCAAAGAACAAATCAAAGAACAAATCTTCGTTTATCAAATGTTAATTTCTTTTCGTTTTCACACTACTCCTCGTGACAAGCGTTTATAGACTTACAATTTCCTATCACGGAGCTACGTCGTGATGCTGTAGCTCAATCGGACTTCAGCTGTTTTGAAAACATCCGCTCATTATGGACAGTCTAACTTATTCGCTCATTATTCTGTCATTCATTATATATCGTCTTGTTTACTCGAAAATAATTGCTCAGAATTGTTTGCTGCTGCGTGATTTGAAAATTCAGTGTACATTATTGCAATTCATTGCACGTCTGCTGGCTTGAGCTGAACAGCCGGTCGCTCGTACCTGTAAACATACGGGATAACCTGTAGCAAATGCGCTCTCGGTTATCTCTGCGCTCTTGGTTATCTCTGCGCTCGTAGTTATCTCTGCGCTCTTGGTTATCTCTACTCTCTTGGTTATCTCTGCGCTCTTGGTTATCTCTACTCTCTTGGTTATCTCTGCGCTCTTGGTTATATCTGCGATCTTGGTTATCTCTGCGCGCTTGGTTAACTCTACGCCCTTGGTTATCTCTGCGCTCTTGGTTATCTCTGCGCTCTTGGTTATCTCTGCAATCGTTGGCGCTCCAAGTATGAACGCGTTCAAGAACAGACTAGATAAAGCTATGGAAAAATATATGTTCAGATTTGAAATGCCCAGCACCATATCTAAAACGGTGGAAGTCTAGTAGCTACTTGAAACTATCGTCAGTCATGAAAATATCCTGTCAAATGAAACGATATTAGATCTTCTGTGAACAAGGCACGAAAAAGAAAAGAATCGGCGACAGGCCACATCAGGCCTACACTGCAGTGCCGAGATCACTAATGTTATGTTGTTATGTTATCTCTGCGCTCTTGGTTATCTCTGCGCTCTTGGTTATCTCACAAGTTTTATATGAATGTCAAAAAGCGAGTAAAGTGTTTAAACTTTTTACGTTGTTGGTTTTGTTCAGCCGATTTTTTAACGATTTTAGTAGATTTCATTGCCGATTTAATATCTAAAATCATATTTCTAAGAAATGTAGGGTAACGTGGGGCAGCGCGCCCCCCACTTTTTTTAAACTAAATTTTTGATGAAGTTTTAATTGATACGAGGTGGTTCTTTGTTTTGTTAGCGGTAGAGAACACGGACCAATATCTGCCATACTTAGCGAGAAACCCGCTATGGGCCCATGACCCGCAGTGGGCTCGCTGCCCCATGTTACCCTACATGTTATGAAATGTAATCTAAATACCATACTAGGTAACGCCGCTGTTAGAGAACAAAGAATAAATTATCAGTTCAAAAGTTCAGTGTACAGTTAGCATTGGCAGTGTTATAAAGTCGCAGAGATTAATTAATCGTAATCTATCATACGTAGATACGAGTTTGTCGGTACAAGTCTTTCATTTATAATGCTTTAATAGGCAATTTTGTTGTTATAAACTTGACGAAGAATCTTAATAAGCTGACGAGTTGGGATATATGAAGCAATGCTCTATAAGTATTCTGGGTGAAAAGCCGGCTCCAGTTTTCTCATTAATAAAGTCAGGTCATGACGTAACTTTGCCATCCTGCTTATTGTAACGGCAATACCAGCAGGTCATTCTTACTTCAGAGGAAATGGATAATATTTTTGAATGTTGAAGACAAGTCAATGAATGCAATACTCTTACTGATTTAGAATGTCTCAACCAAAAAAAGAACTCGACGTATGAAAGGCCTCACATTTTCTCGTATAACAACGATTACAATTAATAAGATGGACGATAACATAGATATAATTTGCTACGTAATGAATAATGTGCAGCTCAGTTTAAGGATCATCAGAGTAATTCGTACATAACAGCCTTATAGTTTCCTACAATTTTTTTATAATACTTTAATGATATTTTTCAGAGATTCAGTTCAAACCTCCTATAACTGGTCTTCTTAAAGTGTCATTCCAGAATGCGTAATAAATTAATTATATGTACCATTAATTTCACTTTATATAACTACCTAACCGCGGGTACGCAGCTGAGCACAACCAATTTTTAACACCAATGCAACGTCTAACATCGTTCTGTAACGCCACCAATCATCCCTACAGCAAATCTGCCGTCACTAACCAGGCCGTGACATAACTCAGCCTTGAAAGTTATCAGCCTGACACCAATTACAGCGGCCAATAACACAGAATGGAATGACTACGCCACCATACTTTGCATCGAAGCATCCCTCCTAACCTTGGCCTGCTGTCGAATTGTACCTAGACCACTCCGTAGTTAATGTGTTGCCGATTAAAAATACGACACAGTAGAATCGCGGTGGTATTTC